CTCTCTGTCTATCTCTGCATTCTTCTTCACCATGATTTCTCACAAAAGAGTCTACTCTCCCCTCCGATCTATATATATATATCGAAACACGGTGACGGACACAAATTAGAATAAATGAAACTGATATCACCTGTCCCGAAAGCAAAACGATTTTAATTATCTGATAACGGGGTTCTAATGATTTTCCGAACCCAGCGAAATGATTAAATTATTTTGGGGGCAAAAAAGAGGATGAAAAATTAAAGAAGTAACGTGCAGCATGCAAAAGGTTATCAAAAGACCAGCTGTCAATTTTGTCGAATTTACCTGTTGTTAACAGATTGGATTGTTCTATTTTCGACATATTTCCACAACTTTATAAATTTACAAATTCGAACACTTCAGTTGTCAAAAATGACGTTTCTCAAATATGACAGTTCATTATGACAAATACACATTTTACAATACAAATTATTAATATTATCAAAAAAACTGATTAGTTTCTTATGTATCATTTTTATATACTCTTACTTACGACAATAACCATACAGAACTAAACTTAACGACATAATTGATTCAAGTTGATACTTGTTCAAGTATTTCTGAACATTATCAGTTGAATAACCAAACTTATTTAGCTGGAAATCTAACTTAACTTAATGCACAGATGCAGTGACAATTTTGGATACTTTGTTGTATCTATATTTATTAGGGTTGCTGATTTTTTTTTTAATTTCTGGTGTCCCGAAAATTCCCGAGAATGCTCAACATAATAAGTCTTCATTATTATTAACATCAATTTTTATTTACACTATTTTATTATTTTGAGAAACGTAACGTAGACCTAATGTGATCATAACGTGACGTCAAAGTCATAAATATGTTTTTCCTTCATTGTTTTCTAATTGCAACAGTCCTCATCGATCGTGGAGTAAAACTTAAAATTAACGTTTTTTTTTTTAAATCAATATTCAACTTGTCACTCATTATGGTATCACAGTGATTGCATTTGCGATTGTCATTTGCTGTTGTCGGATCTGTTCGGAGGCGCCCATATAATGGTATCATATGGTATCTAGTGTTATAGGTAGTAACCCCATGGTCCCGTTGTCCGCCGCCGACTCCCCTTAGCGATAGCAGATGTTCCCGGCGTGTGCATTGTTGTTGTTGTCGCCCCCGTAGGTGGCCCTTGATGGAAACCTCCTCCTCCATCCACCACATTCCCTCCTTCTCCTCCATCACTAGTCCGCACTCAATGCACACTATATGCAGCTTCAATGCAACTAATTATTCTAATATTATACCTGATGCACGAGGAGATTAGATTCAATGGATTCGATCGTAATGATGTTTATCGACACATAGTAAACTCCAACGCACGTTTAAATTAAATATAATGACGCAATTAACGATACATTAATTGTTGTATTAAAAGGTCACCACAACTTGCTTCATTACGTTGGCGAGTTTTCTCTCAATGCTATTTCATACTCTTAAGTTTAACTGTCACATAAGTTTCATGTTTAATTGACGTCGCACAATTGTCGACAATAAAGAAAAATAACTTCTGCGGATAAATTATTTTTATGTGTTTCTCTCAATGTTATTTCAATAATAATTAATAACAATTAGTTTAATAGTTAATTCAGTTTTAAGAAAGATTGACATCCTATTTGCACTATATCTAAATTTAAAAAAAATGTAACTTTTCAACTTTCAGTTTAACAGTTTTTATGTGAAATTCTTTTTATGGACTATAGAGGGTGCGCTACTAGAATCCAGACAAAAATACGTTTCATGCAAAAAGTTGTTTATTTAAGGCAATATACAAAGATACCAAAAAAAAGTGTTATCTCATTTAAAGGATCCTTACTGAGAACTTTCACCTGCTCGATTCTCGCACGTGCGCGATCACGTTATTTTCAACTAATTGCAATTGATGACCGTGAATTCTGCCTAAATAACAGCCCGAAAGCAGTTGACTTTAAGGTGCCTAAACTTGTTGGTATACTGTGAGGAGGACAAAAGCACACGTTTTTTAGGTGCTGCAGATGGGTTAGAAAGAAACACGAAGCAGAGGCAGAATTGGGGGTCTTTCTAGAGCCGGAAAATTTTGAGAGCGAAATGCTTTAGAGTTGGGAGATTATAGCAACATACGTAACAGATGTGCTACTGGCTAAAGAAGAAGACGAGCGGATGTTGCAGAGAGCCTACGAGGACAGTGGCTGTGGAGTCCATCACTGACCTAAGTGAACCAAGGGAAGTGCCAGACAGGTAAGGACAATCAGCATCGCAGAGGTGTACTGTGATACAGGTCCTGTATGCTAACGAAGAAGAGGAGATGTTTTAGTGCGGTAAGCACCCCACGGTACCACGATTCCATCCGTGGTCCCTATGTAAGGTTTCTTCTCATCTACAAAAAAAAGGCTTGTTGGTATATATCTCGACTATACTTAGTAGTCCACATGGTTTAGGTCGGGACTGTTAGGAAGCCAAAAGTCTTTCAACCTAAATATGTCAACGTTACTCCTCTGAGACTGTGTATCTCTTCACAATGTCATAAACAGTCGATCTTGGTACGACGGTTTTTTACAATCGCCGCACTTCTGTCATACTCCATGCTTTGGTTGACGTGCTCGACCATTTTGAGATTATGAAAGCCTTACTGGCGTATTTAGCTAACTTCAGTGCTAACTAAAACCTACGCCTGAATTCAGATATAGCGAGTACTTCAAATACTACGTCTACTTAATGACCCATGATACAAATTACAAGGTACATCCGCATGTTGTTCGTGCTGACTGAAATTTCAAATTGACAAGTAAAAATATACCAAGACAAACATCACAAAACGACTAATATTATTAATTATATCACTTCATGACTATTCAATTATTACATATTTCAATATTTTATTTTCTTAACCTCAAAATTTGTTGATGACCATAAATATGCGTTCTGGTATACCATGCATATTCGTAACATGATAATGACAAATGTTCTAAAAAAATAGTTACAAAAGAAAACAAAATTTGTTTATAAACGTATTGAATTTGGTTTTGCATTTGGACGTATTTTATTTGGGTCTATATTGCGTCTTCCCATAATAGAAATGCCTACAACCATAATCTCGGTTGAATTATTATTATCATTATTTCACAATTATTCATTTTTGCACATCTTGAAGAATTGCCTATTATATAAGTTTTAACGTAGACACGAGTGATTATAATGACGTAGATTCAACACTTTTTTTAAAATTGTAAATAATATCTCTTTTAATTGATTTATTTTATTATTTGATATAGACGTAAACCAAATTAATTTAAAAAATGAGCGTTACTACTTACTATATAAATAAACAAAATAACATCGATATTCTATTGATTAGAGTAAAACCTGTGTTTTATCGCAACCTACGCTAAATTAAAACTATCTAGTTAATTAACTCTTAGACTCATCCAGATTTGCAAAAATCCGCTAAAATATTCGGGATTTTGATACTGTCGGGATGAAAGTCGAAAATTCGATTATTGGGATTTTCATCAGAACTGATTATATTTATATCAAATCTTTCAACAGAAACAAAGAAGAAAAGAGTAGTTAAAATCTGTTTGTAATAAAATTCGTGGTAAGAAATGTTCGGTTTATGTGAGTTTACGAACGTTAACATTTCAAAAATTAAATTAAATTGTAACTAAGGCGGCCTTGATTTTATGGGAATTTTATAGTTTTTTTTAATATATTCTTTTGTCTCTTATGCACTATGTGTTTGTATTTTTTTGAACAATCAATCTTGGGGGTCGGATATTAATTAAAAACCGCGAGCCCCCATCGCTTTTATTAACGCACACACGTCGTCGACGGGGGTGCAAGGGGTGGAGGGTTTTTGAGGTCTCGAACTTTAATAAAATCGTCCCCCGCTATGGGCGTACATGAACATTGCTTTAACAACCCTCTCTCACTCTGTGTACACAGTGTTTGTATTTTTTTGCTCATTTTTTCTTCCCTCTCTCTCTAGTCTTCTAGTCTTCACAAAACTATATTAAATAATGAAATTATAAACCGATCTTAATCAAACATCACTACCTCCCGGGTGACACGTAATTAAACCACTCCCCCACCACCGTCCCTAAGGGAACGTTCCAAATCCTCCTTAATAAACAAATACGTTGTTCACTTGTTTGCTTCGCCCTCCAAAGCCCCCGATTTAATCAAAATCGAATTATCGCCCGAAAACGAAGATTTATCGAGTGACGCATATAAAAAAAAGAGACAAACGAAAACGCGTATATGAATTTCTATTTTAGGTATATCAAATAAATATGTTTAAACCGAAGATTTAATAATTACCCATTACATGATCCTTGGAAATGACTACGTAAAGAAACTAGTTTAAATAAATATATTTCTAATAGAAATTTTGAAAAAAAACTTTTTTTAATAGTTAAATTTAAATACATTTTTTTACATTCTGTGATTAAAAGTAAATATGAATTCAGAAATGTTAAAATATATATATATATTAATTATGATATAAATTTATACATAGTTTTATATGAATTATTTGTATGTTAATTATCACAATTACATAATAAGTTAATTAGAGTTTATAATTGAAATAAATTTATCCTTTTTTACTAATTAATTTTATAATTTCATTACGCGTTATTGTAAGACTTCAATTGTATAAAACTATTTTAAATTCAATTACATCTTTAATCAAGCGCCATCTGCCATTTCACGTTTGCACCTTTTGCTGATTGAAAAGTTGCCTACATATAAAATGTTATTTTAGGTGTATGTATTTTGATGATTTATATAATATTAAATTCCGAAACGAAGGTGACGAGTTCGAATCTCATTATAATAAAAAGACACTGGATGTCGATAATCACCAATATTAAAACTTTTTCTTCTTCCTTCCATCCAAGTAAGGATACGATTCGAACACAAATATAAAACATTTCGAATCGGCATATTAAAACTTACAATTTTTAAATATTGTTATATTTATTGAATTAGTTTTTGAAATCCACGAAGTAAACATTTCTGGACACCTTTCCATCCTTCTTCTGCTTCTTCAGTTTTGTATCCTCTTTTCTAGCGTTTTTCATCTGCAGAAATAATCTAACTACGAACCAGTACATGATTTCTACCAAAGACAGAATGCTTATACCATTAAAAAGTCCCAATAATCCTCCCAGTAGAGCTGCAATCAAAAATACGCTACAAATCTTGTTTATTGATAGAAAGTAAATAGTTTCTACCTAAAATAGAGAAAAACTCGAACTCTCTGGTATGATTGTTCTTGATAAAGACGATATTCCCGAAGAAAACCCTCAACGACGTTTGATTTTCGATGGAAATACCATTGCTAAATAATTTAAAACGGAGGTAATCACTATTAATTTATTACATGGCCCAGCGCATTCACCATAAATTGAATTTTGTTACTAAGCAACTACTGTTTTTAACATTTTGAGCTGTCAAAATTTTAATTATTTTGGAAGTAAATAAATAAAATAGTATTATCAAAGTGTACTTATTTATGTTGATAAAATATGATTTACCCGACGGTGGTTAAAGCTATGTCTTTGTTCTTGCTGATACCTCCACCGGAATATTGCATATTGTAAGTGGTGTACTCGCAATTTTCTGGACAATCGCAGTAGGTGTGATGATAAACCCTAGGCATTGCGTGAAGAAAATCATCTGCAGATGAAAGGTTTTTTGTAGTGATTTGAAAAAAAATAAAAATAAATATCTTACATCTTATGTTGGCGATGCATGAGACGTCACTCAAGCTACACGTCCTTATTTGATTTCTGTCAGTTCCTGAAAAAAATAAAACATATAAATACATATAAACAAGTTGGTTAGAACGATTGTGTATTTTTAAAGCTGTCAAATTTGTTGATTTCCATAGTTACCATTGAGAAAGTTGTAGTAGAATGGGTAGCAACCGCATCTTCGTCGCACGACATCCATGCGGCATTGCGTCATGCAATTGCGTCTTGTGTACAATCGGAATTTATCCAGTTTCCTTTCGTAGCTCATCAAGCAGTTCCTATCTTTAGGATGAACATCCACCAGATCATCAGAAACATAGGTAATTTGAGGAGTGACCGAAACAAAGTTTGTGGTGGATTGTGGAAGAAGCACGAATTCCGTGGACCATTCGACGTATTCAAATGGATGATGCACAAACACCTGAATCGAACATATTTTAAAATAATTAGTATAAAGCAATGTATAAATAAACGTACATTAACTCCATAAGTTTTCATGTCGTAAGCGCCGTAATTCGATGGTCTCACATTGATTAAAATATTAAGAGCAGATTTGAAGTTGCACTGTGAGATACGCTGTGGCGAAATGTGATTGGTCTTTTCATCATCCAAAGCTAAGTAATTAAAACTACAGCAGAAACCGAAAACTGTAAGACTTCTCTTGAAAAGAACAGCGCATCTCCGAATGTCCCCTTTCCATTTACATCTCAAAATATTTGTGCATTTTGGTGACAGCAAGTCTAAAAGGTATGCAGCTGTCAGATTATTTTGGTCAAGCACTTTCTGTAGCTTAGGCAACGAGGAAAAGTGTTGCCTATTGTTCGGATAGATCAGCTGGTGCAAATAGTGCAGATCCTTCTTGAGCGTGTTTATATTGTAATTCGTATTGTTAAAATTTTTGCTGAAATAAAACAATATTAAATTAAATTTCCAATCTTTCACTTGACACTCACAAGAGTCCCGCATGTTTTTCCACTAGGTCCAGGGAGATCTTGTTCACGCTACAGATGGTTATTGCTGGGAAATGGTAGTGCCATAACGGGTTGTGGGTGGTATCCGTGGTTATGGTGGAGCCCTGATTCGCGTATGCATCATAGATCAGCATGGAGTAAATTGTGATCGCAATTAAACACATGACGATTACCAATACCCAAATTATTCTGAAAAAATCAAAATTGACGTTTATAAATGTCAATTGATACAAGATGTCAACTATTAAATTAAATCAAAATCGATCTATTCAAGATTCAAAAAGAAAACGTTAAATTACATGTATTAAATTATATAAATAGAGATATAATCATAAGATAAGATTAACTTTATTTTTAATCCTCACCATTAAATTTAAACTTAGCTTATGAACTGTAACTAATTAACCTAGAAACGTCAAATATGACATTTCATACTGTCAATTCCATTTATTAACATGAAATGCCATCCACAAAATTACATAATCATCCATACCAAAATGATCATCAAAACGTCAAATATGACATATCATACTGTCAACTAAATTTATCAACATGAGATGCCGTAAAGAAAATTAAATAA